CCGTGTTGTCCATTTGACCTTCATCGGCCCTCCATTCCCATCATTATCATCATCATCATCTGAACTCGAATATATATAACCTTGTGTACACATTATCTGTACTCTGTCTGTGCGATCCAGCTTATGATTCGTCTGGTGTACATGTGCTCCTCTGCACAGTGCTCGCTCATGTCTTGTTTCATGCGTGGTCGCATACAGTGGCATGCGGATTGTGACCATAGGTTCCAGCTATCGAGGATTAAACTCGGTGGTTCAAATAGTCTGTGTGATTCTAATGACAGATCGAGAGCAGGGGATGATTGCTTCTCCCTGGTCAGCGCTCACCAGTAGTACATACTTTGTGTCTGTACGGCAACAAACCGCGATCCTTCGAAATGATGAGGATGGGTGGGTGAGGCCCTCGATTGCTGATAACAGCTTGACCGCGTGGCTTGATTCGTTCGGGCTATCGTTGTCGCATTACACATTGTGGACTGATGCTTTTTAATATGTTGGCTTCACTCATTGACATTCTTATTCATCCCTTAATGGTGTGGTGAAATAGCAGAATGTGTACTTCACGAGAACCTGGTCTTTCTTTGATCATGACAACCAGCAGCTTAAGCCCCGGAACTTGGATTGTGGAACCGTGTAAGACCTGAATGGAACAGGGCAGAACGAAACTTCGCTAATGTTGTCACCTCGTGTTCCAACAAAATGGTAACTACATGGAGGGGCAGTTTGAGAGAACTTCATCATAAACTTAAATCTACACACTATGCTTGATGGGTATCCTCAATGGTTGGGTACTGTTGCGCAACGATCGTTAGCATTTTTTGGATGAGTTGAATCCAGTCTTACTCATTCATTGTGTTCCCACCTGCTGCTTTTCCACTCATGACGCTGTTCGAAGCCTGACAATCATCCACTAGGATCTTTGAGGTCATTTTGGTGCAGTTCATCGGTGTAATGCATTAACTTTACTTGTCGCTTTAGACCGGACATTTGAATGTTCATCTGTTGCACTATCTAAAACCGGCGACGCGTCATGCAACCGATTAAAGAGATTACACGATTGCAGACGACCACTAGCGTTCGCGGTCTGGTTAGTCTCGTGCTTTCCAACGATAATTTTATAGATCGCAAGAGGCCATGCTAACTTCGCGCTCCTGTGCAAGACGGTGCTGTTGGTCGCTTAGTAAGTCTATATCCATAATTCAGGGTCATCGTGAATGGTTCATGCTCTACTGGCTATCGTGTAACCGGATACTGAATGTTTCAGTTAACAATCATCGCCTTGTTTCGCTTCGTATCCTATGTATAATCATGTGACGGCTGCCACCAGATTTAGAACAGGCCACCTACCAGCACTATTGGACTTGGAATTCACAAGCAAGGAGCTTGTGGTCGAATCTATCGAAATAATGTCTCCATTAGGACACAGCAACCATGAAATTTTGCTTTTCGATTACATTTATCACGCCTCAATAGAAGTAT